CTCTCTCTCTCTCTCTCTCTCTCTCTCTCTCTCTCTCTCTCTCTCTCGTTTAGCCAACCCAAACTGCCCTAACACCTTACATCTGCCCTTCTGCTAATGCACTGTGACTGCTCTCCCATTCTACTCATCCCCCTCCTTCCATCTTATACATCTATCACCTCCAGATAATTCTAATGTCTGTTATGTACTGCTTTCATTATATCATTTTGTGCTCAAAAATATTCTGACTCCTTACTGTTTACTGTAAAGTGTCAGTTTCTTAGTATAAAATGTGAGCTCTTCCATAATCTCACCCCGAACATGTATTTCAGATGTGGAGTCATTCCTCTGAATCAGCAATTCTCCAAATTCTTATCTCAGACCTCTTTACACCCTTAAATACTTTTAATATTTAAATACACCCAACAAAGTTTGTGTATGTAGATTACATCTATAATGTTTACTGTATTAGAAACTGAAAAGAAAATTTAAATTCTTATTACTTCCTTTAATAGTAACAATAGACTCATTATACGTAACATTAATATTTTTATGAAAATAGTTTTATTTTCTAAAACAAAAAAGTTAGTGTGAAGAGCAGAACTGCTTTACATCTTTGCAAGTCTCTTTAATCTTTAGCTTAACAGAAGACAGCCAGTTTCATACCTGCTTTAACCTGTTATGGTATGTTGTTTTGATTGAAATATAGAAAAAAAAAAGTCTGGCTCAAACAGATGTGTAGCTGGAAAAGGGCAGAGTATTCAGATAGTTATGGATGTCTTTCTTTGATACTACACCAGCATTTGACAAACAGTCACTTTCTAAAAGGTTAACTGCAATGTGGAATTTGAAACCATTATCAATGAACTTTCTGTACTCTGCTATGTGAAGTCCACTGGTCTGTATTTCACACTGAATGAATCTTTTACACTCTGCATGATTTTGTAACATCACTCACTGTTCGTTTAGAAAACACTAGTCCACCAAGTTATACTGGTCTTCCAAATATTGACACAATTCATCATACGATCATATTCCTTATCACTACAAATCAAAGTAGGCAGTAGGAAGCTGTGAGGCTCATGATGGCAGATATGTTCTCCAAAATTCTACTCTTTGCTTTAAAACTCAGTTTTAACCGTCGGAAGTAAACATTGTCAGTTCTTTTTCCTTAAAGTGATACACTCCAAGTGCCCAACCTAGTGCCTGCCACTTTATCAATGCTCAATAATAACGTACTAAATGAATAAATATGTATATGAATATCTTCCCCACAAGTATATAAGCACACAAGAGGAACTTAAGGGAAAGAAAAGGAAAACCTGACACCCCTCCTCAGTTTAATTTACTTAAAAATAAATGGCCCTAATATGAATAAACACAGGCCAAATTTATAAAACCAGAATGCTAAACCCACAGTCCCCATGAAAAAATGAAACAGTTCCTTTCTTGATTGTATTTATTGTTTTATTTTTCCATTCATATTTAAGTATTCCTATATAAAATTTAAAATATAAAATGTTCTCTAATTAGTAATATATTTAGAGTTCAAATGCTATTTTAAAACAATAACAAATTTATACAGGTACAAAGTGCTATAAGTCTGATAAGCTAAATAATAATGGTTTAATAATTATACCAAAGATAAAATGAAACAAATTCATTTTGGAAATTTTAAAGAAAAAATCGGATAACACCATTTCTTCTCATGCATCATTTCTTCTTATTTTTTAAGAGTACTAAATACATTTATTTTAAAAGTGTAGGGCTTCCCTGGTGGCGCAGTGGTTGAGAGTCCGCCTGCCGATGCAGGGGACATGGGTTCGTGCCCCAGTCCGGGAGGCTCCCACATGCCGCGGAGCGGCTGGGCCTGTGAGCCATGGCCGCTGAGCCTGCGCGTCCGGAGCCTGTGCTCCGCAACGGGAGAGGCCACAACAGTGAGAGGCCCGCGTACCGCAAAACAAACAAACAAACAAAAGTGTATAATTGAAAGAAATAAAAGTTTTCATTTCTACGAACAATTTCCTGTCTGCCACTAAGTATTTACATGTGCAGATGAAAGACACAAAACATCACCACAAAATTTTATCTTTTTATTAAACAAATCTTAAGAAATTTAAAGTATTTTATGTGGTTTATAGCAGGACTTCTGGTTACCAAAAAGTTCTTAAAACTAAATTTATTATGCATCCCTGACAGGTAATACATTATACCCAGACTGTGAGATAGTCATTTACCCAGAAGAAAAGCTGGAAAGTCAAAATTTCCCTTCTTTATTAAATAAAAATAAGTATTTCTCACAAAATTTTATTACTAATTTTGAATTGATTCAGTTAATCAACAACTGTACTGTCACGCTAAGCTAATAGTGGATCTCAAACTTTCAATGAAGACTCCTGACGGTAATTTTTATTTTCTTGTCATTTTTCATCTATAGTATGAATGGACTTTCCGAGAAAGTGCTTGGATGCATTCATGTATTTACTAATTTATTCTAGGTGCTAGGAACACAGTTACAGACTCCCCCCAAAAAATGGTCTCTAACTCATAAAGCTTATGAGTATTACACAAGATTTCAGGTGCCCCCTAAAATTTGCAGAAGGGTTCTGAGTATTCCTGAAAGTGGATCCTTTTTTATAGGTTCCTATAAACATTCTTAACTAAAGCTCATATAATAGCATGATGTGTTGGCCTAATTATTCATTTTCTAGTTCCAAAAGTGGAACCAAGGCTCAAAGAAATGGGCCTTATGAGGACACAAACTCATAAGGTATTAATAAAAGAAAAAAGTGAGCTTATTGCCACCTTCCAGACCCAGTACAGAAGAAGGATAATATTCCTAGCTTAAAAGAATAAAAAAAGTTATAGCTTTTCACAACACCTTGGCAAGACACTGTGTTAACTGATGGCAAAGTAGAATTGTTCCTGCAGCCTTGGGGTTCCCAAGAAAACCGGATCTTGTCCAGCTGGTCATGGAACACTTTCTTAATTCACTCAGCTGAGGCAGTGAAAGTTCAAATAAGGCACATCTTCTCAGGCTGCTCTAAAAATATGGCCAAAAAGTCCTGGCTTTTACAGGCGCTAAGTGCCTAGAATAAAGTTACCCTCTCTGCCACAAATCCTTTTAGATAGACTGCTAAAAGTCAACCACATTTTATTTTTTAAGCGTAGCATTTACACCTAAGTTTATACCTGCTGCATTAAAACCAAGCTGCATCATATTTTTATATTTATAGCCCATAGATTTCAACTAATTTAAGAGACAGCCTGGTTATAATGGGGAGAAAGTCTTGTTAAATAAAGCAGCAGCATTTATGGGGTACCAAGGCCTCTGAAGAGACTGTTCTATTGATACCCATCAATATACATTCGAAATTTGTATGCACTGTCAGCAAGCACCACAGTTACACCTGGACAAGATTTCGATCACAACTTTCTATCTACCTTAATGCGTGCTTCCAATTCTTTCATACTCCTTGGCTGGAGGCTTTATATATTTTGAAGTATGCTATTACGAACATCACAACATATAATTTCTAACAAAGTTTCTGATATTTTGGCTTCTGTAGTAGACTGAATGGTGAACCCAAAATGTATGTATACACCCTAATCCCTGGAAACTGGGAATAACACCTTACATGGCAAAAGGATTTTGAGAAGAGGAGCTTCTCAAAAGAGAAGCTTATCCTGGATTATCTGGGTGAGCCCTAAATCCAATTACAAATATCTATAAAAGTGAAGCAGAAGATCTGACACATAGAGAAAAGGAAGAGGCAATGTGACCACGGAGACAGATATTGGAATGATGCACCACAAGCAAAGGACTATCTGAAGACATCAGAAGCTATAAGAGGCAAGGATTCTCCTCTGAAGTCTCCACAGGGAGCCTTACACCTGGATTCTAACTTACACCTGCTGCTTACACC